GGAATCGAACCTGGGACCCTTCAGTCCACAGGCCTATGCTCTATCCACTGAGCCAAACCGGTTAGGGCTCATTGGTTGCTTCTTGCACGTGCCCTGACTGGGGATCAAACCCGCAACCTTGGTGTCTCAGGACGACACTCTAAGCAACTGAACTACCCGGCCAGGACTTTAGGTGCTATTTTTATCTCCATGTGATAGGTGAGGAAACTGAAGTACTACAGAGATGTCAAGTAAGTGGTCCCAAGTCATACAGACGACAAGTAGCCCATTTGAATCCGGGCCAGGTTGGCTTCAGAGTCTGGGCCCTTAAGAACGAGGCTGTGCTGCCTCTCCATGCAAGTGATCTTGTTTAGCATCCGGATTATAAGGAGAACATCTCCTCTTACCCCTTCCCTGTCCAGTGATAGTAACATCTTGTTGGGGGATGGGCACCTGCCATGCCCCCTTCTCCTCCCCGTGCTTCCTCTCCAGCCTTTCTTCCCTCTCCCCGGCACACTTTCCGTGCCATGCCCGGCTCCCCTGCCAGGATTCTCATGTGCCGTTTTTCTTCACAGAAGTGCATTAGCAGAGGGGAACTCCAGGTGTCTCTGTCGTATCAGCCTGTGGCACAGAGAATGACGGTGGTGGTCCTCAAAGCCAGACACTTGCCGAAGATGGATATCACCGGGCTCTCAGGTAGCAGCTATTTACTCCAACCTATTTCTAAGTGTCTGAATGACACCCCCTCCTCTTGCCTGAGGCCCAGATACCTGCCCTACACACACACACACACACACACGTCAGGACCCCTTATACCTGTCTCTTTACATGCGTTCCTCTCTGTGTCTCCTTTCTCTTCCTGGGGAATATCTAGGTTATAGATTTTCCTAGCCAAATGGGTGAGCAAATGGGATCTTGTCCTTTGGTGAGATGCCCTAATAGGAGCCCGTGCCAGGTGCTGAGTCCTTGCTCCAGGCATTGATTGTGCTGTCACTAAGACCACGTAGGGGTGGCTACCAAAGAGATGGACAACAGAACCCCCTCTTCCCAGCATGAAACCACCATTATAGAGGAGAGGACTGTGTCATAGGCCTGTCTTCCTTTTTTTGTTTTATCTCTTTGGCGGCCCCAGATCCTTATGTCAAGGTGAACGTCTACTATGGCAGAAAGCGCATTGCCAAGAAGAAAACCCACGTGAAGAAGTGCACTTTGAACCCAGTCTTCAATGAGTCTTTCATCTATGACATCCCCACTGACCTCCTGCCCGACATCAGCATTGAGTTCCTCGTCATCGACTTTGATCGCACCACCAAGAACGAGGTGGTGGGGAGGCTGATCCTGGGGGCGCACAGTGTCACAGCCAGTGGTGCCGAGCACTGGCGAGAGGTCTGCGAGAGCCCCCGCAAGCCTGTGGCCAAGTGGCACAGTCTGAGCGAGTACTAATCCTATGCTCCTCGCCTCCAACCCCAGGGCCAGGCTGGGCAGGGACATGGTGGGGAAAGAGGTGGCAGAGAGAAGCGGACTCAAAACCTCACTTTAGTTGTAGAAGAAAATTTCTTACAAAATAAACCCTACAAAGAACACCCCACATGACCACAGCTGCAGATCAGTTCGTAGAGATGATGATTTCTCTCCTTTGCAAGGCACTAGCAATTCTTTTTTTTTTTTTTAATGGGGAAAAAGAGAGAGGGAAAGACCTCTACAAGTTTATATATAACAATGTAACCTATACTTGCATGTCTAATACAAACTGAAGAAATTAGCCTAGCTGCCAATATCAAGTTACAGATTTTAACCCATGAAAATTGTGTTTTGTGCCGAACTGTATTTGCTAATTACCTGAAATTGGCCTCTTTTTATTGGGCTTCTCTGAACAGTTACTCTCCCCACCTCCGCAAAGAATATTTTGCTCTTGTAAAACCTCCTATTTTCATTGTCCCCATCTTTTCTTCCTATTACCTCTGACATCTCTGCTCTTTTATTGAGCTCCAGGTCAGAGGTCTGTAGTAAGCCAAGAAACAAAGGTGGACTGGATTAGGCCGGGTTTTCAGGAGAAAGACTGTTTGAGAGATGGGGCGTTTTTGCTGTCAGCTCTCCTGCTATGAAGGGGTAGACGGCAGCCTATGATTAAATTGTGATGAAGCACATGGACACATGAGACTCATGAGGCAGCATTGGGTTTACAAAACAAGATGATGTCTCTAATGAGGGCTTTAGAAATTCCAACCTCAGCTATAGGATAGCAGCAGTGAACACATCCTGCTGATCCCAAACACTATTTGCAAGTATGAGGACAAGGAGAGGAGAAATGAGATGGCTGCGACCTCCCTTTTGCAGCTGGATATGAAAGCGACAGCTATTTCTGGTTGATGGGTTAGAAATCATCAGATGGTTGAAGAATTAAATTGGCCTTTGTTTTTCCAGAAATGCTGACCCTTGAGAAGGAGCTTTAGAGTCTTCTCGAGTAGCTTAGGTGTGGTTAGTGGTTAGTTTTGCTTTTGTAAGGCAAAGGGCCTTAACAATTATTCTCCTTAAATTTTTTAGCAATGACTCTTAAAAATAAAGTGAGACGGAGTCATAAAGGTAACTTGGATTCTTTCAGGACATCTTTTCCCTCAAAACAAAGTGCTTGGTTCTTGGAACTTAGGAGTCTTACAACTAAGCTGGAGGGATGAGGGGAACCACAGAGTTCAACCCTCCTTCTGCCAGTGGGCACAGAGGTTGAGAGCATTCAGCATCCTGCTGGGATTAGAATTCAAGTCTCTTTTTACTCCTAGTCCAGCCATGTCTCTAATGTTGAGACTTCTCATGGTGGCAGAGACTTCACTGACAGTAAGTATGCTTGGATAGGCAGTCGATATGTTTGCCAGCCTGAAGAGGAACTCAAGTCAGCAGCAGCTGGAAGCATGGCCTGAGGGATTAGCTAAAATCGAAGGTCCACTTCCATGCAAGGACATCACTTTCTAACTTACTTCTGAGAAGGGAGTTAAAAAGCTGAGTCGCTATGGAGAGTGGTGATGTTGCCTTTGATGTTCCCTTAGCTCTTGTGGATTTAAAACCTATCTGCTCCTCCCCAATCCTCTGGTGGTTGTCTTTTTTAACCTTGATTCTTGACAAGGCGGAGCAGTACTGAGCAGGCACAAGGCCCTCTCTGTTCTTGTCCCTGTCAGCTCCCACCCACTACAATCTGACTCACTCTCTCACCATCAGTTGGGTTCACACCACCACTCTCTGTCCTATACTCCATGGAATGTAAATACTGTATCATACGTAGAAGAAAATAATTTTTGTTTTCTAAAAATGGCATTTTGAGATAGTTTAATGTAAATCTAACAAGAGCATTCTGAAACCCCATTAGGAAAAAAATTTAAATGATTCCTCTTCATCGCCTTAATGTCTAAAGATCAGAAATTGCTGAGCAATCCATTTTTGTTTCCTTCCCAGAAACAATGCAAAGCAACAGGTGGAGATAGTCTGATCTTTGCCCTGCTGTGTGTGCCTCTGTAGCTGCTCCTGATCTAAGTATGGGAAAACAGCCTCACCCCACTTTTCTCTTTCCCATCTCCTTGTAGCTTTATTCCTTGAATTCGTTGGGTCTACTGAGTAGTGGGTAGTGAGGTGACAGGGGAGGAGCCAGTAGTTCTGTAGCCTATGAGCTGCCTCGGTGTTTTTCTCAGAAAAAAAAGGCCAAAAGGAAGTACAGGTTTCCTCCCTCCTACCTCAGGCCTGATCCATCGTGCCCTTGACTTTGCTGTCCCAAAGTTTCTTAACTGACTTGGGCTTTCGCATTTGTTCCTCCCAGAGCTAACTGATGAGGGTGGAAGAGGAATGCCTCCTCCTAAGAGTCAGTTGAAAGACAAGAGAGTCACATCCTAGTTTTTGCACAAGGCACTCATGGTCAGGAATAGGTTAGGGAATGGTCACTTCGGATTTTCCAAGCGTCAGTTCTTCTCTGCTGATAACTTGATTCCTTTGGGAAGACAAGGGTTTCTCTTAGTAACAAAAGTCCCTTTATGAGTTATTCCTTCTTTCAGTTCTCAGTGGAGCACAGCCAAGAGGTACATGCGTAGAAACAGTGCTCTAGGTATGAAAACAGACAGAACTGGTTTGCGGGACAGGGGCAGCTTGCTCAGGAGAGGGGATAACGCAAGTCCTTTTTCTTGGAAGGCTTTTATTATGGCCATGATAGTGACATTTCCCTCACCATGATCCTTCTCCAGTGTGGTTGTCTTTCTTTACCTTGTGTCTTCTCTTGTAAAAATGAAACTCAAGAATAAAATAAACGTGTCAAATTAAAAAAAAAAAAAAAGAAAAATCTGAAAACGCTAACATGAATCGTGTGAAATTGCATAATGCCGTAACGCTAACCTACAATATGTAATGCTATCTTGTATGTTGAATTTGTTAATGCACCGCACAAGTGCAAAATAAAAACTGATTCCCATTAAATAGAAACAGTGATGTCAGCATGGTTCTCTTGGAAGCTGGGTGACGACGAATGAAGTGAATACTCAGATTCTAATAGGATGTTCCAGGGCCTGTTTTCAAAGTGTGGGCCTCAGGCCACCTGATTCAGAATCATCTGGGGCACTCGTGGAGAAAATGCACATTCCAGACTCCTGTCCTAGAGGCTCTTGCTTGGTAGGTGACTTGGTTTGCTGTTTGTCCTAGTACTTTTTCTAGTCATTTTGCTTTCCCTTCAAAATGTAATTTCTAAGACCATAACCACCAGGGGAGAGATGCTGGTCTTGAGTGCTGAGAATTACTCTGCCCTTGTAATTGGGAACATTTATTCCAAAAGCAATGCCTAGACTGACTGAGTTGGTTCACTCACTCATTCATTAATCAACAGCTATTTACTTATTGAGTGTCTACCATATGCCGCATACTGCGGATACAGCATATTGATAAGCAAGAGTCCTACTCTTATGAAGCTTAGCAGAGGACAAGCATTAATCGAATAATCACAATAACAAATGTATAAATGCAAACTGATAAATGCTCTGAACGAAAAAAAAGCATAGGTACTTTCAACAATAAAGATTTAGAAAAAGAAAAAACATAGGTTAATGCAAGACTCAAGGGTCATATACTGGGGTAATATGACCACTGCAAGTGCTTTTGTGGATTTCTGAGCCTGCCTTAAAGTCTGGAATGATTCAGTTTTCATATTTTCTCTTAATGGTCCTCCCTGTGTACATGCTTGGGGTAGAGAGAAAGGAAGCAGGAGAAAAAGCCCCTGCTCTTTGAAGTTTCAGTGAAGGAACTAAAAAACATTTTCAAATTATAAAACTAATATAATAAACATAAGAAAATTGAAAAATAAGAGGGGAAAAATCAATCGATTCCAAAACCTAAACAATCATTTTGTTTTCCAATCTTATTTCCTGTGCATTTTTTTCCCTGATAATGTCACTCAGGATCATTATAGAAAACATGTAAAATAGTAAGTTCATAGAAATAGCAAAAGTATCCATCTACAGACAAACATCAATCATTTGGCACATCTCCTTCCAATTTGTTTTAACTCTCTTATTATTGCGATCATGGCATGTATATAATATTTTCCCCTAGTTTTAAAAATAGTTTTAAAATAGGAACATGATATAACAAAATGATTGTAAGAGTAACTTGGAACTCAGGGTGATTTTGGCTACAAGTACAGGAAACCCAATTCAAAGTGGCTTAAACATTAAGAAAATGTATTAGTTCACCTAAAGGGAATTTCAAAGGTGGGGGGCAGCCTTTAGAGCTAACTCTGGCAAAGGGTCACTGAAACTACCAGGGACCCAGGTTATTTCTGTGGGCCCAACATGATATTCAAAATAATGAATAGTAAGATTACTCTACTCAGCAAAGCTCTCATTTAGAATTGAGGGTCAGATAAAGAGCTTCACAAACAAGGAAAAGCTAAAGGAGTTCACCAGCAAACCAGTATCACATGAAATGTTGAAGGGTATTCTTTAAGAAGAGATAAAAAATAAGAATAGCCGAAACCGGTTTGGCTCAGTGGATAGAGCGTCGGCCTGCGGACTCAAGGGTCCCGGGTTCGATTCCGGTCAAGGGCATGTACCTTGGTTGTGGGCACATCCCCAGTGGGAGATGTGCAGGAGGCAGCTGATCGATGTTTCTCTCTCATCGATGTTTCTAACTCTCTATTTCTCTCCCTTCCTCTCTGTAAAAAATCAATAAAATATATTTTTTAAAAAAATAAGAATAAAATGGAAACAAATATATATCTATCAACAATTGAATCTAAAAATCAAAATAATAAGTCTAATGACACAAAAAAGCCAACAATCCAATTAAAAAATGGGCAGCCTTGGCCCATGTGGCTCAATTGATTGACTGAAATGTTGCTGGTTCAGTCAGGGCACATGGCCAGATTTCAGCTCAGTCCCCAGTAGGAGGCATACAGGAGGCAGCCAATAGATGTTAGGCTTTCACATCCATGTTTCTCTTCCCCTCTTCTTCCTCTCTCTAAACATCAATAAAAATTACTAAAAAAAAAAAAAGAGCCTACTGAACAAACTAAACTGGTGAATAAAATAGAATCAGAGGCATGGAAGCATGGAACACTGATGAGTCTCAGAGGGAAGTGGGGAGGAGTGTGGGAAGAGATTAACCAAAGATCTTACCTATGGAGACAGACAGTAGGGCAGTGAGGGGGTGGGGTGGGGTGAAGTGGGA